TTTAGTGTCAGTGCACCGTGTCGTGGAGTTGCAGACGCTTGAATGAGAGGCAGTTCGGTGTCGGCTTTGCATGCTTGCAGTTGCAGTTTCGTAGGAGCCTCGAGGTAACTGCAGTTCTGACTTCCTACAAGCAAAACAAACGAGGACGATGCTTACTCGAGGCGGCGGTGGTTAAAGCGGAAGCCAGGGGGAAGAATAGGACAACAATTAGGAGGTCATCTGAAGTAAGTGAGCCCAGGGAGACGACGAGGAAGAATGAGTAGGTAGCAGGCGAGAGTATGAAACGAAAATGTTGGAGAAGTAGACGGAGGAAGAGAAGGCGACTTAAAGGGCAGAGTTAGGAGGGAGGAGAGAAGACCAACACAAGGTGGGGGGATGAGGACGGAGGAAGCAGCAGGAGGGAAGCAAGCAGAAGCAGCAAGTTAGAACAAGAGAAGAAAGTGAGCCGGAAGAAGGAGTGGAAGAGGAAGAAGATGATGACAATGTGAAAGAGGGAAGAACGATATGAAGAAATAATGGTAAGGGGAGATTAATACAACAGAACAGGGTACAGGTATCCAGAAGAAGATATCTGAGACTGACGAAATGATGACTAACAACAACATAACTAGTGAGAATTCGAAGAAAATTAACACGATCAGGCAACTAAAGAAAAAGACGAAAGAAAGAAAGAGAGGTTGAACGGTAAAAGTCAAACGAGAGGAAAGCAATGGGGAAAAATTGACATACGCAGATAAATAAGAAGAGGAAGAAAATTAAGAACAAGTGTGAATGAGGGGGAAATGTAGGGGTATATAAATACAAATTTGGAGTGAGAAAAATTGTGGGGAAGGCAAAATAAAGAGAGACGAAAGGAGAGGCTAGATGTACAGCTCGTAGAAGATGGTGAAGGCGGAAAAATAACTCAAAAAGAAGATGAGGATCTGATGAAAGTGAGGAGAGAGAAAGCCAGAGGTGATGTGAAGGGAGCACGCAAGTGGATGAGCTGGATGAGGATGAATAGCAGCACAAGAGAGAATAGGTGAAGGGAAAATTCGTTAAGGCAGCTGCAGGAGAAACCCCCGGTAAAGCTTGTCCTGCATAGAATTGCTAAAAGAAGCGAAGAGGCGAGTTGTAGGCAGTAGTCGCGAAGACTTAGAATCCGTGTCAGCCTTGTTTCAAAAAGGGGATGCAAGTATGAGAAACAAAAGGCTAGAGTTAGTTTGGTGGACTGGCTGTCAGGCGGTCCTTTTTCTTTCTGATTGCACAAAACTAACCTCTTAGGGTCGCGTAGAATGTCGAAGGACTGGCTGAT